AGTAGCAACAGCAGCAGCAGCAACAGCAACAGGGGGTCGGCAGTCACGCCTTGAGGTATATTGTGCTGCAGCAGCGGCATGCATGCGGCTGGAGCTGTCGTAGCAGCTCCTGGGTCTTTTTACTCCATACATTTGCTGCAGCTGCTGCATGTGCTGCTGCTGCTGTTGCTGCTGCTGCAGCTGCAAGAAGCAGCAGCTACGAGGCCCCTCTTCCTGGCTGTCAACACCCGAAGGCGGCTGACGAGCCGTCTGCAAGCAAACAAAAACCCACAACTCAATGCTGTACATACACCCCAACTAGGCATAACTACACTCTGCACTGCACAACACTCGACAGACGTACAAATATATATATATATATATGTATATATATATATATATATATATATATGCATATATATATATATGGGGAAATACAGAAATGCATGTATTTATGTCGCTCTTCAGATAAGGAGAAATAAATACGTTATATATATAATACATATGTTAAAATATACATATATATATATATATAGACGGTGGATCCGCCTACCTGTACACACTGAAGTGTATGTACAGCTCAGATGCAACGATAATGAGGGCCAACAACGCGGAGAAGTCGCGGAGTGTTGACAGCCACCTGCTGCTTCCGCTGCTGCTGCTGCTTCTGTTGCTGCTGGTTGCATGCAGCGTGCGTCTGTAGCTAGGGATATCTACCCCACTCGCCTCTCTCCATGCTTTGTGCATTTTGCTGAGTGTATGACGCCTAGAAGCTCCAATAGTTCGGGTGTATAGCCAGCTGCCGAGTTGTAGAATAAGGGCTGCAGGGATAACAGACTGCACCACTTGATTTAATTCACCTCCCCACTGCAGCAGCTGTGACCCCAGAAGACGAACCCCCTCCAGCACTGCCACTGCTTCACCTAGTAGCCGCACAGAGTCTCTCACGCATGTCTGTACACTTGGCTCGCTCTGCTGCTCTCGTTGTGCCTGCGGTGCTGCACTGTACGGACCCTGGGGCTGCATGTAAGCCAAAGACGGGGGCCCATAAAATCCCCCAGGGCCGCTACAGCCTGGAGGCTGCATTGTATCGAAGCAAGCTGCTGCTGCTGCTGCTGTCCAGCGGAGCCGCCGTCGTGTAGGAGGAAATCAGCGAAGCTAAAAAGTGTTTATCATGTGAATAAGTCTTTGAAGGGAAAAATAAAAGAAAACTGTAGGAAATTGTATCAGTTGTAGCCGTGTGCTGGCTTCGAATGCACCCCTCTAACGCTGTGCGTACAGCTCAATGTACAACAAGGGGGGAAATTATGCAAAGGAATAAAGAAGGAAAACAATTGCATTCAATTTTATTGTTTTCTAGAAGTCGATGGAGACAAACATCAATAGACAGACACAAATATTAACCACCAAGCTGGGGCTTTGCATGCAGACAAAGCTGAAAGCAATTACAGCGCTCTTCTCTCATCGTTCATGGCTCTTCTTCTTCAATATATTAATATATTTTAATTATTTTTATATACAAATATATATTTAAATATATATCAATGAACTTATTAGCGGAGACAATTCACTGCATGCAGGGCTAAGACCAACGCCATACAAAGTTTACTATGAAAATCGCACTTACCCACTCTCCTATACTATGTACACAACATACATATTATATATACCAATATATATATATATATACATATTAATATGTAGGTGCATAGTATACACTGCGATAATATATATAT